ATTAATATTTAATCCATAAATTATTATGATAAATAAAAAATAATTTAGATAATTTGTTGAAACAATCCCTACAAACTCTTTCATTAAAAAAAAATCTAAAAATAATTTTGTGAAAGATAACTGTTCGAATTTAATATATAGGAGATTGATTATATATAGTGACTCAAGATTATTTAAAATTGTAGATAATTTATTTTTAAATATTAAAATTTAATTTATATAAAAAATATGATAAATAAAAATTGAATTGAATAATAAGTTAAGAATATCTTTAAATATTTTCTTATTGAAAAGAAGTCTAAAAGTGTTATCATTAAAGAGAAGTCTTAAATAATGCTCGTGTTGTAAGATAATTTTTCATGTTTAATATAGAAGGTTAAATTTATTTTAAAAATATTAAAATTTAATTTCTAAATAATTATGATAAATAAAAATTAAAAATAGATAAAAAGTTAAAAAAAAATATAAAAATCCTCTCATTAGATATGAATGCCAAAAAAAAATTTCGTTAAAGAGAAATTGCTATAAATATTTTTGTACAAAATAATTGTTCATATTTAATATGTATAAGTGAATGTAAAAAATTTGAAACAAATATTTATAAACGTAATAAATTAATATTTGTAAACAAATATTAATATAAGACTCTAAGTATCATAAACTAAATTGTTCAATATTTTAAATTAAGTAAAATTTTCAAGTTATGATTATGATCCAAATATTCATGCATTATTTAAATTGTATACACAAAATGTTATATACTCTATTAGGTAAAATATACAAAAATAATTAGTTGTGTATGTTATTTAAATTTGAAAAAAAAAGTACAAGTATTCAAGCAGAAAAATTCAATCAAATTTCAACTTGTTTCTTGTTTTAAATCATTATCTACTACATGATTTTAGAAAAATGAGAACATTGATTTAAATAAATAAAGATATATTTTACTTGGTGCTTTACACGTGTATTAATTAACTAAAAATATATAGAATTTTAATGTTTTTCAAATTAATTTTTTTTATTAAATATTATAAGAATTAAGAAGTAATAATTTGGTGGCATCATGAAGTAAAAACCAATACATATATTAAATATAAAATAATTTAAAAAATTGATAATTAAAAATTGAAAATTGATTTATATCCGTTTGAAAGACTTATTTATATATTCAATATATTTTTAGTAATTAAGATTGTTTACTTTTATTATTATAAATAAAAATATTTAAGTTTCATTTACTCCACAAGTAGGATTGTAATATTTACCCCAAAAATCTTATAATTATAATATAAAATTGATCACGATAAAAGTTACTAACATTTATATTTATATTTTATATAAGTTAAACATATAATTTGGATGTCATAGATTCTTAATTTACTCCATGTATGTAAAAAAAAATTATTAAATCAATTTCTATAGATTTAAACATTATTAATTTAATTTTAGAAATCATTAACTTTCTTATATATTTATTTAATTTAGTCCTTATATATGTAACGTATTTGTTACTTTGAAGACATTTTGATATATGTAACACATTCTTAACTTAGTACCTAGATGGTTAATACATTCTTAATTTGATCATTTAAATAAAACATTTTCATACAATAAAATATTTTCTTTATTATAATAAATTATTGCTATTATTATTATCATTTAAATTTGAAGTTAATTTTCATACAATAAAATATTTGTTTTACCTTATATTTGTATCGATAGAGTTTCAGATTTCTTATATTTTTACAATCCTATATATTAAATTTTAAATATATTTGAAAATTTTTCATTTAATTATACCTTGATCTATTTCAAACACTCAATTTTATCTTATTTTGTTTAAGTTATAAGTTGATGCATTTATTGTGAATTAACTTTTGTCTACAATTTTTTTTTACCTAATTTAATTCATTTTTTCCCCTTTAAATCAAGCAAACATAGACCAATCAATTTTTTATACTTAAAACCCTTACAATTACTTTATTTTACTAAAGAAAAAAAAAACCTTTTCTATCACTGTCATTCAAATATATTTACATGTTATCGATAGACATGAACCTAACTACAAAGGATGTCATTAATAAAACTTAAGATGTAAATACTATACTCATTTCAAAAAAATTATTATAAAGTTACAATATATTGGTATTTAATAAAATATTTACATTAAATAAAGAAAAAAATGGAACGACGACATCAAGTGAAAGTTACACCATCAAAATATTTACATTAGAATTAAAAACGTCTTAAAGATTGGGAGAGAGGGTTACTATGTGCTTGACCCATCATTTGATTGTTTTTTATACTTTTTGTGTGACAATTGACCTATCAATATATTTTAATCTGTATAACAAAGTTGAAGAACTTTGTAAGAAATTACTAAAAATACCATATAGTTTTGCATGATAAGCTCCGTTATCTTCCTCAAATATGAACAACAATTTTTATGCTGAAATTTTACATATTAGGCAAAATGCTTATTTTTCAAATTTATTTATTTTATTTTACGTAAAAAAAAGATTTATCTAGCTATTGTGAATATTAGTGAGAGCATACATTACTTTAGAATTTTTACATTGAGGAAAATGACCGACTAGAAACCAACGTAAACATCTTGTATGCGAATGCCATCTATAACTTATTAGCCACCTTTAAAAAGCATATAATTACTTCATACCGAGGTTTGCACCCTTAATAGACTATTATATTGTTACTTGGATTTTAAATGTTTAAATGACACTTTTTCTAAAGTATAACACATATAAGGTTATATTAAGCGAGCAATGGATAAATAACCCAAGCAAAATGTCAATGATTTATGAATGAAATTGTATTTGAAATACATATTCATACCGATTAAGATCCACCTGTACATGAAAAATAAGATTTAAGCATCATCAATTAAAATCCACCTACACATGAAAATTATATATAAAATTAATGGCTTCAATGTAATCTTTTACAGGTATATGGTTTGTTATATAGGTCTTTGTATATTATTAAATTCTAAGCCATTGATACTTTCTCGTATTAAAATATCGTCTTTTAAGAACCTATTCTTATCCCTTACAAGGCAATTCCAAGTTAGCTATTTGATCCACTTGCCT